GGTAAGCAGAGACTGCAGTTGCTTAGGGGCCCCCGCCCTCTTAGGGGCCCTGTCACTGACACCTGGTAAGCCCCCTAAGCAATTGTGGACTAGGACGTCTCTCCGTAAATGTAATGGTGCGAAAAACGCCTCTTAAACCCATCTAATACGAGGTTGACTGACTGGACCTTATTTATACCCCAACACATTGATTTCAACATGATGGTGAGCCGTTTCAACATGGCACCAATAGCAAAGCAGACAGTGGTACTTTTAATTACTATGTTAATAACATAGTAATAATAATATGTGTATATAACATTAGGCGGTTGGTAAAAAATGCACTAATATAATATGTTTTAAACCGCAATAAAGATCTTAAAAGAACGATGAATTGGAGTATTTCATTTTTTACAATAAAACTTGGAATTATGGGTAATCCAGAGCATAGGTTAAAACCATAACCGTTACGTACAATGTGTTGCACTGGGTGGTGCGGGGCAGCGTGGGGTTGGGGGTGTTGTACTTCATATGGGGCCCACCCAAATGATGTTGCTCATGGGCCTATCGTTGTCTTAAAATGTTCTCATTAAAAAAATTGTTCCACCTTTCAACAGTGGAACAAATATTTTGTCGTGCAGATTGCATATCTGCTAACTTTAAAATACCACTAGCATAGCAGCGAGCTGTGTCCGACACAGCTGATACCTATTGGGCAAAACTTTGTTATCAAAACAGGAAACAAACTCTTTATATAACTGCTGACCAGCTACATGCACGTTTACACTGGTATTTTGAAAATGAACTTCCAGTCCTATAAGGTTTTTCTCTAAAGGTAACGTTATTATCATACACAAGACACTTTGTGGTATGAATACAAGTTTAATTAAAGCCCAAATCTGAGAAGTGAGGGAATATTCTGCAGATTAATTGATTTGACTGTAATAAACAAAGGCTCATATTTGATGATCTGAGGTTTTATATTTTTTAACAAATACAGATTTCCATTCCAAACTCTGGTGGTTAGAACACCTCTCTGTGAAGTTTTATCTAGCAGTACCTGAAAGACACACAACTATACAGCTCAGGTACACCAAATACAGAAGTTTGCAAAGATTTCAAACCAAGATTGGAAATATTTCCATTATGAAGAGATGAGAAAAAAATCTTAAACAGAATACAATAAATTGCCAATTTTAGCATGAAAGCCTTCACAGAGAAGTGATAAGAGCTCAAATGAAATCTTTTCAGACATTGTTCCCCAAGATATGCTGCCTTTCTATTTTTAACAACCTATTTTCTCAGGTAAGTAATGTAAAAGCAATGTGCTGATAGTTTCTTTTTATCTTGACTGTACTCAGCGTACAATTCATAACTGAACAGCAGACCAGAGGAGCTGTGAGGTAAAGTGCCGACGCAAGAGAGGAAATGAAAATGAAGGTGGAGAGAGTGGAGGTGTCAAAGCAGCTTGTCAAACTCCCCGCACGTACCATGAATATTTCGCCACAGAGCAGCACCCCTGGAGACAAACAAAGACAAAGAAACTGAGACAAATAGATTCTGTAGATAGATGCAGCAGATAGATGGCCGTATGGATGACCCTCTTTTTTTCTCCTATCGTATACCCCACATGGATAGCTGTCTCGGTCTTCATCTTGCAGCAGTAAATTTTACGAGGCAGGCCTGACAGGGAGAGTTCTCCACAGCTGACAGCGCTGGCTTCAAGCTCCAACTGAGGCTGTCTGAAAGCTCAGCTACATTACACAAGCAGGTGACACCCAGGACAGGTTAGATTAGCACAGGCGCTGCTTTCATATACAGGAGACAACACCCACTAATGCTGATTAAATGGAAAAACAACATGAAACAAGTAGAATCTGATGCAGTTTGCTACTGGAAGGAATCATTTGTCATGAGAAAATATTTTGTGGAAACGAATCTATGCTGATGCAAGTATTTGTTTGGAAGCCTTTAAAATTTCCAGTTATTTTATTTCTATAATTAAAACCCTTTTTCTAAGAAGCCAGAAAAGGCGCTGCAGTGAGCAGACTGTACTCCGACTGCGTCAGGACTGGAGTAATAGAGCTTGGCCCCTCCCAGTATTAGTGGTCATTGGTGCACCCTAGATTGTTACATTTTTCTCTGATTTAGGACAAAGATAGAAAAAGAACAGTTTTGGACATGGTTCTGCTCACTAGAATACATGGACAGTCAGGTTGTAACAATTAAATATGTCACCCAGGAACCTGTTATAATCATAGGTGTTTGAAGACAGGGGCCAAAAGGGGTCAGTGTCCCTGTAGAACTGGTCCTGGTCTCTGTACTGAGGACAAATAATAAATATTTCATTTATCTATTTATTTATACATGTCCTGTCCCTGTATCATTTTAGCAATGAGAATGGATTTCTGGGCAAAGCGTAATAGTCAAAAAGATTTTCTTTGAAAAGTGGACCATCGTGGCTGTTGCTATAAGGTTCCACTTGGTAGTTGTGTATGAGACTTTATTAGAAGTTGCTTAGAGAAAAAAACATGGAATAAACACAGAGACAGAAATGGAGTTAAGAAAGGGATAATTAAAAGAATTAAAGGCAGAAGAGAGACAGAGAGAGAAAATGAGACAGAGCGAGAGAAAGGGGACAAAATGATGGAAAAGAAAAGGAACGATGGAAAAAATGGGAAATACAGAACCAAGCCTACAAGTCTGCTTCCACACCAGCAAGAAACAAGAAAGAAGGTCAAAAAAGCAAAGCACACCAACCACGACAAAAAAGGCAATATCCCATGGTTATGCAGAAATACATGTATAAAAACAATTAAAGCAAAACTTACTAAGATTACACAATGTTAGTCAGAGCTATATTTAGTCAAAGCTGAAGCTTAGAATTGAGACTGTGTATTAGTGAACAACTGGATCAGAATGCCTGGGGTGTGCACTCATAAATGTGCTTGTGTATATAAAGTTTATAAAGCTTAGGAAATATGCTCAATAGCATGTGTGAAGGGCCTCAGCTCCACCCCGAAGACCCCAGGGCTGACACAGAGGAGACTAAATCCATAGATATTCAAAGGCACCCCAGAGTAAAAGCACACAGGGAGGGCAGACAGAGGGATGGTCACACCCACACAAGATGAACAGACGAGAGCCCAAGGCTGAACCCCAGAGGCTTTGGAGCTAATGCCCCAGAAGCTGCAGTGACAAACCTATGGGCGCCAACGGCAGCTGGTCTCACCCAAAGCAGAACCGGTCATTTTGACTTTCAAAATCATAATTATGAGATATGAAATCATAATTATGAAATATATCATACTTATAAAATATAAGGTCAAAACTATGAGATATATGTTGGGATCTGGAGGTTTGTCCACTTTCTCCATCAGAGGGCGTACAAGATCTCCTGGAGCATGAGCCGACCACACCACCTGTCTCCCATCTGCTCACCAGGAGATCCGTACTTAAGGAGGCGGAGGCTTCACTCCAGTGCCAGAGTGTTTGCCAGTAACGGTTAGCAAGCCTGAGCCAACCTGCCTGTCTGAGATCTCTGACTTTGTTAACCAAACCTGATCCCGTTTTTCTCCTCTCTGCTTCCCAGGTTGATCCTGCCTGAATACCTGAAACTCTGGAGAGTATCTCTGCCGGTGATCTGTCTGCTCGTTCTCAGTTGAACTCTGGAGAGCTGTCTCTGTCAAGTACCTGCCTGCCCGCTCTCAGAAGATTACTGGAAGGAAACTCAATCTGAGATCTGCCTGCACTCTGTAAGCTCTGCCTCCACCTCTGCCCTCAGCCTGCCGACAACCTCTGGACCCTCTAGGTTCGACCCCTCTGCTGCTCTGCTCCACTCCTGAACAGGTTCTGACCTGAACAATCACAACCTGCAAAACACCCGGACCTCCACTAATCTTTCTGTCCTCCTCAGCAGTGAACCCACTCGTGACCAGTCAAGCCCCCTCCTGGATCTGATCAAACTTTGTACATTTATTGTAAATAAATCTTTGAACTTTTCTTCTGCCTCCGAGTGTTCTGCATGTGGGTTAGACACATTAATCCGAACATGACAATATATTGATAATTTCTAATTTCAAAGTCATGTTTATGACATAGATTAATCTTTGTGATTTAAAAAAAATCACAATTTCAACTTTCAAAGTTATAATTATAATATTTAAAGATATAAGATATGAGATTCAGCCATATTTGTTAGATAACAAGCCATGATTATAGAATTTAAAGTCACTTTTATGAGATACTCTGTATCTCATTAATATGACTTTTAAATCTTCGATTAGGACATATCATGGGCCATTTTTTTTTTCACTTTCAAATGGGCGTTCATAACAATCTACCAATGGGCTTTGCTCTCGACTAACGAGCAAAGACACAACAATAAATTAGAACAATTAAAAAATAAAAATTCACTTCATGAATTTCAGGCCCTAGTGTTTTTTATAAACATATATTTCCTTTTCAACAAAGACAACCAAATTAATCTATGTGTTTAAAGTAAAAGCTTCTTAACCCACATCTCATAATATAAGCAAGTACTGTACTAACTCTAAGCTTATTTACCTCTCACGTTTATTAGAGTGATTTTGTATTTCTTTTTAACAGAGCAGAACTTTAGTCATGAAGCACTTCCCTCTTGGCGAATGTGATCCTAAGGGATTACCAAAAGTGCCACAGTTAATTTCGAGCTTCACTCAAAGCTCTTGGAATCCAATTTTCCCCTCGGAGAAGTTTATTAATTCTACATTTAGGGAAACAATGAACTTTCTTCCAGTTTTCTAAAATGGCAAAAAAAACTTAATTTAACAACGCTTCCAGTGGAACAAGACAAATCTAGCAACAAATACTAGGAATTAAATTGTCCCAGACATGCTTTAGAGCGAATATATGTTTTCATTTAGCCAGCTTGGAATATTGCGATTTAAGGAATGCAATGTATTCTGATCAATAGGCAGGGGCCCAAAGGGCAGCAGGGGTGGAGGACCACCAGAGCTGTAAATCAGACAAGAAGCACTTACACTTACGTCAACTGTGTGTCCGCTGGGCCATTATCTGTGGGTGCGTTCACACATCAAAGTGGCAGGGGTCTTCCAGGCTAAAAAGGAAGAAGAAACAAAGGGCCATTAAAGCCCAGGAACAAACCCAGCTCTGAGCACACACTTAAACACAGCTGCATGAGGACTGCAAAGAGAGTTTAGGACCCACAGAGAGCAGAGACCAGAGGAGAGGGGACGCAACATCGATTTCCCCCCCCTCTGAAGTGCCAGTTCATCATTCTGTGAGACACACACTATCGATCCCTCGCCTTTCGTTTGTTTGTAATTTTGGGGGCTCAAAACTGTTCACAAAGATAGATCCTCTCATATGCCACTCCTTGACAAGATGAAGAAACGAGGGATCAAAGGATGTGTGGAGATGACCTCATTTAGCAAGGTGCTCCTCACCCTGCTGGTTTTTGTTGCATTGTTTATTATAGAGGCTTTAAAGGGAGAGCTTTCAGGGTTAAACTTTATTTCTTTTGTCTTATGAATGGTACAAGCTGGATCTGCATCCATATTTTACAGGAGTAAAGATCTTCGGCAAAGAGACATTCCAATCATATCCTTTGATCCTTCATTTCGCAAAAAAAAAAAAAAAAAATAGCCTGGAGTGATTTAATATATTTTACATTTCTTCTCAACAAATAATCTTTTATCTACTTCCATCTTTGGCCACAGAATGTATGTCCACAAACAATACAATTGGATTTCACTTTCCTCTAAAGAAATCTGGCACTTACAGTTCAGCTATTTTTGAAAGGTTATTATACTTTTTCTTCGCTTACAAGAATATTTTCTCTGTATGTAAAAATAAATGTGGTCATAGGGCTAAAACTAAGAGTCCCGCTCACAACTCATGTTAGAGAAACACTTTTTGACGCTACATGTCTATTAAACAGTGATGGGCAGTAGCGCCGCTACATGTAGCGAAGCTATTAGTTTAACTACATTTTGCAGTAGCTTGACCGTAGCGTCGCTGCTTTATTTATCAAGTAACTTTCCTGTAGCGACGTTATTGTTTTGATCAAGTAGCGACGTAGCGTCCACAAACGCTACAAAATCCAGGGCATAACTAAGAAATGAAACCAGGTTTTCTATTTCTAAACAACAATCATCCACAAAACTACTGTAAAAAGCAGTTTCAGCTGACGCTCTTATAAGTGGCGTAGTAGCACAGGCACACTCCGTAGGGTTAAACAAGCGCACCCTTTCCGAGTCTGTCGTTCTATTGGCTGGAAAGGTTGCTAGGCAACGATCCAACAGGAGTCTGAGAGAGAGCAAAACAAATCCGCAAGCAGAGCCTACGGGTTTGCGAGCGTAACAGCGCGGTTGTGCGCGAAGAGAAGGAGGCAAGCGAGAGGAGAAAATATCTGTGATAATATAGAAAATATCTGTTTAAATCTGAGAGAAGAAACAAAGATTTGAGAGAGAAGAGAAAATATTTGAGAGAGAGCGCATGTTTTGAGTGTGAGCATTATAAGTTTTGAGAGCAAGAAGATGAAATTATTTTCTCTAATTGAAATGATGTGCTCTTGCATTATGGCAGGATAATTCTCCCATATGTGCCACTAAGATACTCTAATTGGAGAGCTGTAGTGAAACTTCGATATTGTATTTTCATGGCCTAGTTTACCTGACAGGATAATTACATAAATCTGTTTTTAGGCTTTGCACAGATAAGATTTTTTATGGAGGAACAGCTCTACCGTATATAAAATAAATACATAAATAAATAAATGCTCAATAAATAAATAAATAAGCATTCAATTAATTGCCTCCAAAAATACAATGAATAAATATGTAGGTAGAAATTAAATTATATGGTGAGACATATATTTATATATGTATCTCTTAATTAGCTTCTTTATTTTTTCACCTTCTTTTGTAAACAGTTTTGTTTGTTACTTGAATCAACTGTTTAATTGAGGTCTGAAGAAGTTTTCTCTAAGGGAGACCCTAAAGAAATAAGATGCCTTTTGTAGGGTTTTGTTTTCCCTAGAGATGTCCATTGAATGCAAACTCATAGCCATGTCTCCATGTGTAGAACACTACACAGTACCTTTCATTTGGTTCTAATAACAGCAGATTGTTTACTAGTTTGTCTACTAGTAAATACTTTAGTTTTTATTTTAATATGCTGATCATAAAGCAATGTTAACACTGTGTTATGTCATTGGCTGATCTTTAATAAATATTTTAACCAGTGCATCAGACCCATTTTGAAAAGATATTAGGTTGGTACAACATTAAGTAGCTTCTGATGTAGTTAAGCTACTTTTAACACATTAGTGTAACTTAGCTTGCTATAATTCTTTAGGTGGTAGCTTTTGTGTAGTGAAGCTTAATTTATTGTTGAGTAACTGATAGCTTAGCTCACTACACTGGACAAGTAGCTTGCCCAACACTGCTATTAAAGAACTATGCTGTCTATGACAACATATACCAGATAAATTAACCAATAAGCCTTCTGATAATCCATAAACCAGAAGCAGTTTTCTTTAATCATTAATTTTAACTATGAATAATTTTAAAATCAAAATAATGATGAAATAATAGTAATTGAAAAGGGGTTGAACACTTCAATATGTTCATAGTTTAAACATTCTGAGTGGCACCACTGATATGATATTCTAATTATATTTTAGATGTTGTTGAACAATCCAAGAGATACACTAATACAAACAAATCAAAGCAATTTTGTGCATAAATAAAAATCCTGGTAAAAATTGAACTGACATAGGAAATAAATACTAAGAATATGGAGAAAACAGTGTGTAGCAGAAAATGTTGGGAGTATCGGCATTATTAATTGCGTTAGCTTGTCACTGATAAAGCAATCTAACTTATTACTTATCACATTTTGGTAATGCCATTACATTAATTGCAACCTATTGCAACCTTTGACCTCCTGCCCAATTTGATGCTGGTGTGCTAAAAGATTTCCTTATTTATGAAATTAGAACCAAAGTGTAACTTTACATAATGCTCAACATTCCTCATTTTAGGGAAGACAATGCTTGTTGTAAGAGTTGTCATAAAATACAACTTGTTTCCTGTATTTTTTTGGACTTTATTCTCTTAATATTCCGACTGTATTCTCGTAATTTTATGACTATTCTCGTTTTGACTTTGTTCTTGTAATATTATGACTTTATTCACAAAATTTTACCACTTAATTCTCCTGATTTTATGACTTTATTCTTGTAATATTATGACTTTATTCTTGTAGTGTTATGACTTTACTCTCATAATTTTGTGACTTTATTCTTAGAATTTTACAGCTTTATTTTCATAATATAATTACTTTATTCTCATAATGTTATGACTTATTTTCTGTTATTTTACGATTTTATTCTCATAATTTTATGATTTTATTCTCATAATGTTAAGACTTTATTCTCGAAATAGAAAAAAAATCTTATTCTTGTAATATTATGACTTTATTCTCGTAATTTTACGACTTTATTTTCATAATGTTATGACTTTATTCTCATAATGTTACGACTTTATTCTCGAAATAGAAATAAAAATATCTGTAGTCTGTCCCTAATACTGCGTCATAAATAATCTTATTCAATAGGCAAATAGTCTTACTATGCTTCTCAAATCGAGGAAAATGCAGACCAAGAAAAACTTGACTTGCTTAGATTGCAATGCAACATTGACTGACAGCTGTAGGCCAATATGTTGCCTCTGCTTTGCATGGATTCTGTTTCTCTTCATATAGAAATATTTGGATTATGCAGCCCTGCTGTTTTTTTTTTTTGTTCTGAAATAGTGTAACCCCTGTTTAATTCTATAGCAAAGTCTATTCTGTTTCTTTAATTTGCTTAAAGAGCATTATTGTTCAGCTTCATATCTATTTTATAGCCAGTTAAAAGCCATCAATGTGCAAAAATAATAGGTTCTGCCTGCCCCTTTCAAGAGACCTTGAAACACCCAGGAACTTGTTATTTTCCTACCTCCAAACCTCTTGAGACGCATTTTCACACTGTATTCTCGGAAAAAAGTTAGCAACTGACATTTGATTTTGTAAATCTATTGGGAGAATTTATTTGCAAATTGGGACTGTGTTTGATTTGCTTGTGGTTTGTGGGTAGGGCCAGATGCCAGCAGTGTGTTAGTAAGCACAGCATCCACTGCAGCCTATTTCCCAGTTACATCCATCGCTTCCAGGAAAAAATTAGACCCGAGAAGAACCACCCACATACTACCATAACAACCTTATCTCTAACCAACCCCCCGTCCACACACACACATATTCAGAGCAGCAGAGAGGTATCACCTGACAATTCCTACGGAGAATACTCCAAGGTCACCATCGCCTGGAAAACATCCTTTAACCAAAGTTCTGAGAGCAAAGCAACACCTCCGCATGTTCACAAAAAAGGCTAAACTAATCCCTGTGCTTAAATAGCAGCATTCTGATTGTTAATTCTAATTAAATATGTGGGTTTGAATTTCTATCACCATCCAACTATTTAAAAAAATATATGTGATGCATCTATGAGAAGAATATGATGATTAATGTGTAGAATAAACAAAGAATACACTCTCTTTCTTTCTTTCTTTCTTTCTTTCTTTCTTTCTTTCAGTGAAATCAGTTTAAATGTTATTTCAAGCACCAAGTATTTGTAAGACAAGTGTTGTGTAGACAAATAATGCACTAACATAAAAAAGAGCAGAAATGCTAAGGTATAAAACAGCAGCAGTTTATTTATATAGTCTCAGTGTGTCTGCTTCGCTGACTCTATGTTGATGTTGCTGAACTTCCCACTGAGCAGGCGCAGGGCAAAAAGAAAAACTTTGCAGTCCTTTTCCCATAGAGAAAAGCAACTTTAGCAGAATCAGCAGAATTGAACTGCATGTAGAAACTCTTTTATTTATTTATTTTTTAAAACCTCAGAATTTTGATCATAAATGTGGGATCAGATTTTTCTTTGTCTGGTTAGGATTCTAATAAGAGATTTTTAGCAATTAGTATCTCATGTGTAGCAGGTGACTTTCTTCGTTAAGCTTTACAGGTCAACTGGTACTCCAAGAAAGGCCAAACGCA